GAAATGATTGGACAGTATACATTCCACTTGCATGACATCTGTCGTAAAAGGACAAAACTAGTATTTGATGATGTCCACTTGTGAGACATTTGACTGCCTAGGGGAAGGATTGTGAGTGGATTTCTTTTTAAAAGCAAGAAAATAATTTTATTACTACTTTGACACCAAATCTGACCCCCCCGAAAAACCCTTTACAATAAACTTTTAAACGTTTGCCCCCCACCTCTGCCCCACATAATACCACTGCTTTCCAAAGACTGTTTCATGCAGTCACTGGCCTAGTTGGATGCTGACTTGTGCTCTCCTCTCAGATAGAGGAGCTGGAGAAGCAGCTAGTTCTTGCCAACTCAGAGCTAACTGATGCTCGGACGGAACGTGACCAGATCAGCCAGGAATCTGGGAATCTGGACGATCAACTCCAAAAGCTTCTGGTAAGTTTCCTTTCCAAAGGGTAATTGGGCTTAATCCCAATCCAAATGATTGGGATTAATTCTGAGACATTCTTCACCAAAGTATTTCAGAAAACCAGTTTCATTTCTAAAATTACATTTGCACACACACATATGTACAGAATAGGATATTCTAGACACTGTTCAAGCTTTTCATATAAAATATAATATTTATATACTTTACCTTGTTTTAAGCAGAACAGTGAGTAGCTAAAACGCTGTTGTTATCAGGTGCCATCAAATTGGCCCCAAATCATAGTGACCCTGTGCAAACAGAACCCTGCCTGATCCAAGCACTTGACCATTACCTTACCAGGGCTCTTTGACGGAGGTGCTGCAGGCTGAGACATTCAGGAAAGGAGAAGTTCGCTCCCCTTTGTGTGACAATACTGGTCAGGTAGAATAAATTTCTCTTTCACATCCAACCCTATTGTACTGTATAGGCTTTCTGCTGCTAAATCCCTCCATGGGATCACAGGGCTTGAGGAGCATGTGGTAACTGTGATGCTCTAAACCTTGGGATAATCCTCGACTTGTTTCCTTGAAATACTGCAACTTTCCCACATAAGTGAAAAAAGAAAAAGAGGAAGACCCTAGACATGATGAACCGACACAGTGACTTCAACCATGGGCTCCAACCTAACCAATGTGAGGATGGCACGGACCGGGTGTGTGTGGTCTGTTGTACATCGGGTGGGAGAGGACTCAAAGCCACTTAACGACAACAGCAACAAGTTGAAAATCTTACAGATTAAATGTCTGAACGATCCTCAAACTCATCCCCTCCCCTTCATTCTTGCCACCACTGCCCCTCACTACCTCTTCCCTGCAGCATGGCAGTCATCGACTGACTAATATTTTAACACCAGCTTCTCCCATCTCTGTTTCATCTGGCGAAGGGCTGCCATGCCCATCGCTATAAGTTATAGTATGTGTGTCACTCTTCAAATGAAAGAGTACAATCTCCCAGCCTTTTAAGAATGTTCCTGATCTGGTCCCAGCTTTCTCTCTACATATGCCCAGTGTTCCTGGCAAACCATTGGCATCACTTATCTCTCTTCCTAA